ATTTTAATTAACTCTTTTAATTAAAATTACTAGATTTTCAAACTCATCCAAATGCTCCAAAATTAAATTATGTTAAAGAGCATGCCAAGACTTAATTTAAAAACATATTACGAGTTAATTTCATGCAAGGTATGACCATAATAATTAAACTTTCACAAAAGAAAATTATTAAATAAAAGTTGCAATATTTATTCAAATAATCCCAATTTAATATATCTTAACAAACATACCAAAACCTAGTTTACTAGCATGCCACAATTTAATTCTATGTTGAATATCATCATGAGAATTAAATCTTAAACATAGAAAATAATTAAATTAAATTCTAGATTATGAACAAAAGTATGCATACAAGATGTATAAGCATCAATTGCATGCAAGACAACAAAAATATAAATTATAACATCCCCTACATCCATTTGAGATGAAATCTCAAATCCCCACCGAAAGAAAAATGCTCCGAATCCAACGATACTCCTAGGTTATATCGAGGACAACACGGTGAACATTAAACTCCCAAGAGGACATACCAAAATCCAAAGTTGACCTCAAACCCGAACTCAAAAAAGGGCCAAAAATGGATTCTAATAGGGGGAAAAGATGTGCGTAGTCATGACAAACATAAAACACGAAGGCACTATAACTTTTTAACAAAGGGAAGAAGTCCAAAAGAAGAGAGAGAAGGTGGCAGCCCCTTGGCGGCCATGGAATCCGGCCAAGAGAGGGAGGAAAAAGGTGAAAAAGTAATTTTTCACTTTAAGGTATTTTATTTATAGTAAAACCTTAAAAGTGCCCCGCAGGGTCCGAAAAAGTGGAATTCGCGCAGACGCGCTCAAACGGCAAAACTCTGTGAACGAAAAAAGAACCAAAATGAGAAAAGATGAACAATGGAAGAAACGTCATCGAGAACTGAGTTCCAAGCAGAAAGTTATGCCCCGAACAAGTTCGGCGGCAACCAAGGCCAAAAACCCTGAAACTGGGGGAAAACGACTAGAAGACAATTCTAAGAGTACATAACTTGACGAAAAGTGAAAATGAATCCCGTATGAGGATCCAGGCTCAAAACGAGACATCTTTGCAATAACTTTCATTAATTACAAAATGGCCCCTCCAAAAAGGGTTAACTACACTAATGACCCAGAATGAAAATATCTTCCAAAAATATTTTATTAAAAACTCCTAAAATAAAATATCTTTAAAAGATATTCATGAAAAAACACTCCAAGAAAATAAAATATTTCTAAAAAAACCATGCATCAATGCCTCTATGGACACCGAAAGCAACCAGAGTACTTTTCTGCAAAAGTAAAGATACGAATTTCGTGGAAACCACTTAGAATGAGGATACATGAAGTCAAAAACCAACTCCGAACACAAAAAGTGAGGTTGTACCAAAAAGTGACAAACGGGGAAAAGACAAAATAGGGAAAAGGACGAAAAGTGAATAGTGTCAAAAAAATGAAAAGGTGGAAATGACGTGGTCCTTAAAGGAAGTTGTCAATCCAAGGAAAAGAGTCTCAGAAACCATTCCCGAACACTCGAGATGACACTAAGTGATGAGAAACCGAACTCAGAAAAGGAAAGATCAACGGGAAAAAAAAAAATATCCGTGAAAATCTAAGACAAAGGAAATGAAGGAAAATGACCGGGTCATTACAGCTATGTCCATCACCACTACCCCACAAAACCACTGTCCCCACCCCATAACCACACCCAACCCAACCCAATTCAATGTAATAGAAACTCAAATAATTGATGATTTGATGCTAAACCACACATTGTGAAACCAAATTGATCCACAAAATCCAATCCGCCACCACCATCACCGCTCCTTCACAAACCACGATCTTCTCTCAATCATCTTAGAAACCCAAAAAATTCATGCTAAATCACACACCACCAAACACAATTAAGCCCCACAATTTCACTACCACAACCCCAACAAGCCCACTGCCACCACCTCACTTCCGCAACTACCACCGCCACCTTACACATATATACACTCATGTACATATCCTCTTCTTAAACTCCAATAGCCCTAACTCCTCTCCTCCTCCGATGCAACCACTGATGTTCCTTTTCATGCTGGATACAGTCATGGTCGAGGAGGGTTTGGGGTGAAGGCTAGGTAGTGTTTGGGTGTAAAGATAAGAGTTATTAAGTTGTTTGGGTATAAGGTTAAAAATAAGGGTATTGTTGTCTTTTAATGTTCATAAGGGCATTATAGTCTTTTAATTTTAAATTGTCAGTCATGAACAGTAATATTTAACCCGCCGGTAGCCGGAGGGGGTGATTTGCAACAAATTTGTATAATTCAAGGGGTTTTCTACAATTTTGGTAGTTTAAGGGGTTTTTTGCAAGTTTACTAATAGTTCTGGGGTTTTTTTTGCATTTTACCCTAATTAATATAGCATAGGATTTAGTTTCACAATATATAAAACTAGCATCCTTAGTATAACGGGTGGTCGCTTGTCCATTTACTCAAAAGCTTAAGCTAGTGGGTAGTGCTGCATACCCACCCATTTATACACATGTCACTTCCCATTTGTATCCGATATGGGACAAGTCATTCCTTATAATATTCTCCCCAACCCGAACTCGTAATGCCCTTATTGCGATCAGGCCACCCTGCCTACCCGGGTAGCACACTAGGACTCTTTTTGGACCAGGCGCTTGGCATAACACCGGAGCAAAGACTGAATTTGACTCTGATACCAATTGTAATGAGTGGGAGCTTGCCTATTTACCCAAAAACTTAAGCTTTTGGGTAAATGAATAAGCACCCACCTGTTTCACTTAGTCATCACTTAATAAAATTTGAATTTTTCTCATCAATTATACTATGATATTTTTATTTAAAAAGTTACATTTTAATGTTCAAAATTTGTTAAAAATGTATTATGAAGTATCAGATACGCAATCAACGTATATCAGAAGTTCGGATACCTGTTAGAAATTGAAATATGTATTTTAAAAGTATAAATACCTCTAACAAGTATCGGACACATATACAAAGAATATCAATACCTGACACGTATCTGATACAATACGTCCTTCTCATATAAAAAACCATACTTCTTAGGTAACAACCGTAAATTTATTTTTACCTAAGTCGAACTCTTCACTTTCCTTTGGAAAAACTAGAAGTTTTATTATTGGACTAATGATGATCCATATCAATGTTATGTGCAAGTTATTTGTCTATATCTTCTTAACTTTATGACATATTACCGTTATAGTACGCAAAAAACAACTACACTCCTTTCAATCATAATATAAGCTATGATGGTGATAAGTGAGCATCTGTCTCTTTTATGCATCCCCTCTGAATAAGGTAGAAATTGTGTCGTCATATTCATTCCCCATCAATATGGTTATTGTGGAATATGACTCCAATGGTGAACCAAAGAAGAGTCGAAATACTGGGCCATATGACTATGATTTCTGGACCAGGATCACCTCCAGTCCCACGGTGCCCCATATGCTCCATTTTAGGTCAATGAACAGTGTTTACCATGTTTGGTTAAAAAATATATTTTTGTAATATAGAATTTTTGTGTATATAAGTATATATGTATATACTGTTGATAAATACACCATTTTTGTTCCCTCCCTTATTTCTTCTTCCTCTTCCCTCCTTCATTTCAGGCAGCATTTGAAATAGAAATCAAATCCCGCCACTAGCCTTCTTCTCTCCCAAAATATGAATGAAGCCATTTTAGAAATTTATTTCTTTCCAAATAGAATCCGGAAGTAGCGATTGTTGTGTGAATCAACCCAAAATTTGGATGCAACAAATTGTTTCCAAATAGAAGCAGCGCTTTTGTCAGTCGCAATAAAATTATAGATTCTGATTTCCTTCCAAAAAGAAGTAGCAGTGTATTTCCAAAGTTAAGCAGAAGTGTATTTCCAAATTGAAGCAGGAGATCGCATTATTTCCAACCCTAAGTAGGTACGATTTATAATTTTGAAATTTGATTTTGAAGGAAATCGTCTTTATTTCCATAAGAACTGAATGGCAAAAAAATATATATATAACTAGTAAGAATATATAGACACATTTTTGGTAAGACACCTAGAAATAGAAAATTATTGTTGAATTTGAATTGATCGTTATTTTATTATGCAGTTATTAGTGGTTTTAATGTTTATTTGTGAGGATAAAAAATGAGAGGATTTGTAGGGTACATGACTGGCTAGAAAAGAGTGTTTCAAAGTGTTACAATGTTAAGAAAATGTTTGATCGTTGGGTTTGCATCACAACGTTTTCCTAAGTTGCATCCCAACTTTCTCCTAATAAGCATCCCAAATTCTTCCTTATCTATATTCCAATATTTTTTGTAAAGTGAGTCACAACATTTTCGTAAGGTACATCCTAAAATTTTCATAATATAAATCCCAAAGTATTTGTAAAATATATCCCAAAATTTTCCTAATTTGAATCACAAAGGTTTCGTAATTTACATCCTAACTTCTTCAAAAGGTACATCCTAAATTTTTACTAAGGTGAGTCCCAACTACTTTTTAAGGTGAATCACAACTGTTTACTAACATAAATCCCAAATTTTGCGTAATATTCATCCCAACATTTTCAGAAAGTGCATGTGAAATTAGCATCAGTTGGTTGGACATATATGTTCTGTTGTGGCAACAAGGATTTTTATCCTTGTTTGTCTGGAATATACATGATTGATACATGCAAAGAAATGAATGAGATATATGTCAAATTTAATTTCTCATACATGTGAAAAGTTTTTTATTTGATTGGTCATACAAGTGAAAAGGTTTTGTATTTGAGCTGTTGAGATGGAACATACTTGGGATATAGAAGTAAAATTATTTTTTTTGTTAAATTCAATATTTTGTGCATATGTGAGAAAAATTTTTGTATTTAAGCCGTTCAGATGGATGGTGAAGTAAATAATATTCAAGACACAACAAATGGATGAAACGTTCCTATTGTAGAACCGGAAGTGATTAAATGGAAACTAAGGTATAAAATGGAGTTTGATAATGAGAAAGAGGCATATGATTTTTATAATGCATATGGTGGTCGAATTGGTTTTAGCATCCGGAAGGAGTACGGCAATAAAGTTCATGGAAGAATTTTATCAAAGGTGTTAGTTTGTAGCAAGGAAGTTGTGAAGGGGACTGACAAATGGGATGTATTTAGAAAGACTCCCCGGGCTAAAACACGAACCAATTGTGGTGCAAAATGGTTCTTAGATATGACAAAACAAAGGCAAAGTACGTAGTTTCTAAATTTGTAAAAAGTCATAACCATCCATTCATAATTGCTGAATGCAGCCACATGATGCTGTCCCAGCGACGAATTTCCTCAGTCCAGGCCATTGATATTGAGTTGGCTTCGGATTCAGGAGTTCCGGCTTGTAATGCATATGAGTTTATGGGAAGGCAATTTGGTGGCAAAGAATCAGTTGGGTACTTGAAAGTGGATCTAAAAAATTATCTAAGGACGCGAAGACAAAATAAGTTTTTTTATGGAGAGGCGGCATGGCTTGTGGATTATTTAGAGACGCGTGCTTGTGAAGATCTCTCCTTTTTTTATTCCTTGCAACTGGATATTGAGCAAATGATTACGAACATATTCTGGTCAGATTATAGAATGATCATTGATTATGGCCATTTTGGAAATGTTATCAGTTTTGACACAGCGTATAAAGTGGTACACGGTAATAGATCATTTGCAATTTTCTTGGGTATGAATCATCACTAGCAGACCGTTGTGTTTAGAGCAACCTTAATATATGATGAGACAGCGGATTCGTTTGTCTGATTATTTGAAATGTTCTTGAAAGTGATGGGCGGAAAAGCGCCAAAGACGATTATTATAGATCAAGACACTGCAATGGCGAAGGTATTAAAGCAGGTGAATAACTTTCATGCATCTTCATTCTTGTCACTTTCATGCTAAAATAATCATATTATTTTAGTCGTATTTTTTTATTTGCAATATTGTAACACGAATATTAAGTTAATTAATCTTGCAGGTCATACCAGTGACGAAGCATCATTTATGTGTTTGGCACTTAATGAATAATGCGTAGAAGAACCTAATATTTCTGTTTAAACGAGTTGAAGGAATATAGAAGGTCATCTCAAAATTAATGTTCCAAATTGAGGAAGATGATGATTTTATCAGGGAATGGGATTTAATGATTGCAGAGTATGGTATTGCTAGTAAGAAGTGGCTTTCCACTTTGTTAGATTTGAGACATAAATGGGCCCTGGCATTTGTCAAACACGACTGATCTGTAGGAATGAGTAGCATGCAATTGACTGAAAGCTTCAATGGTCAATTGAAGTATTACCTTTCCAGACAACTTATTCTACTAAAATTCTTCACACATTTTGACAGATTGTTATCGGACAAGTAATATAAGGAGTATGAAACCGAGTATGACTTGGTGGAGAGGCAACCGGAACTAAAAACAAAGTGCCATATATTACATCAAGCGGCGAAGGTGTACAACAAAGCAATATTTCAGCTTTTCCAGGAGGAGTTTTTAGCTGCTCTTGCGAGTCAAGCTGTTATTAGTTACAGTGACTTGGATAACAATGGACACCGTGTTTATAAAGTTACTAGTGAGGATGGGGTGCAACATCATGTCATCAGGACATTTGAAGATGAATTGTCATGCTCATGTTGTAAATTTGAAATAGATGGTTATTTGTGCAAGCACAATCTAAAAATCCTTAAAGACTGCATGTTTGTGAATGAGTTGCCTTCCTGATATATAAGAAAATAGTGGACTAGAAATGCTAAAGATGGCAGGTTGGACGAAATTATTTCCACCAACGTGAATCCAGATCCTTAACTTGATATTAGGCAGTGGCATAGGACACTTTGCCATGTACTGACTAAATATCTTCCATTGAATCACACGATCCCAAAGGATATAATGATCTATTAGAAAAAAACACTAGACTGGAAAAGAACAGTACAAATATGTTGTGGTTGTAGGTTTGCATAGAAAATTGCAAGGGGTAAGGGAAAAAAAAAGGGTCAAAAGTAGCAGTGGAATAATTCCCATGTCCCTGAACGTTAAAGATACCTCTAAAGGATGATTTAAGAGTCTGAAACCAATCATAGAGTTAAATAGTGGGAAAAAGAGGAAGTTAACGAAAGCAACAAGCCAGGTATACATTACTATCGCACGCACTGCTATTTCATTGTTTAACTATTTGAACATGCGAAAGAAATAAATTTGATTTCATAACATTATATCATTCCTCATAAAACACTCGTTAATGGAAGAAACTAAAATATTTCTATGTTTTATATATCAAATGAAATCGCTGATATAGGAGAGGCCGATGGCAGCGATAGTCCGTCAACCCCATCTTACGTGTCAGTGAATGTGAGTATTTTTTTTTTCTTAGTTGGTGTTGTATTGAGCTCAAAAAATCAACATGAATATAGGAACACAGAGGGCATACCCTCAGAAAAGGAAAATAAAAATAGTATTAAAAACAAGGCCTAATGAATATGCCCATTTGCAATACAAAAACAAAAAATCACACTCAACTCTAAGTAATAACATCATTAAGAGTAACCTTCTGAACATCACAAACTTCCATGAGGGCAGAACTACCTCTTGAAGTACAGTGAATGTGAATGTGAGTATTATTGCAAGTATATTATAGATAAGTAGTTAGTATTCATTACTATTGGTCAATGATGTGTCTAATTTTACTACTCGCAATAGTATGATTCCGGTAGGATAATGCTATAAAGAGAGGTGTCGAACCCATAACGAGATGAGATTAGTATTTAGTTTTCCATTTAGTTTCATTGGTTTACAGGTAACTGGTTGAAAATTTTGTTGGTTATCATGATAAAAAATGAACTAAAATTAAAGCAAAATATTAAACTAAAGTAAATTAAATAATCAGAGAGAAAAATCTTATGGCTTTGACTTCACCACAATCATCATACTATGGTTAATTATACCAACTCTGGAGATTTAACAATTATGTTTTTCAAATGAATTGAACTCAATAACATTCGTTCAATTCGGGTTTTAAAGAAAGATGTTTTACAAAATTCAGTTAACTATAACCTATCTGCAGTTAGCATGGACTATCCACCTACCTACTCTAACTACTTTAATAACTTTGCAAACAATCCACCTTTCTTAAGCATAGATTATGAAAACATTCTTTTACAAAAACATTGGAACACCATTATATGACCTCTATTCTCATGTCTGGCAGGGCTCCGCCAGATACCATCCAATAAGATAGGTTGAGAATAGAAGACAAACAATTATATCTAAGACAAGGTAATAACAATTTATAATCTATTAGAGCATGAAAACCAATTAAGTTGTCTCAATTGCTCATAGCCATATAATCAAGGAAACATAATATATTAAAATAATCCCAAAGTTAAAACAATCAAACCATAATACTAGATTGGGTTACATCAGTGCCCAAAGAGAGGAATTGGCTACTCATGACAATGTCGGATATCATCTGTGTTAGAGTTGTCTCCATCGTCACGAACGGCACTTCTCTTCTCAGGATCTTCACTTTCTAAGGTTGTGAAAACCCTAAAAGCCACCACAGTTGGCCTTTTGAATCACACGGCAAAAAGCACTTAAAATTTTGAACCTCTTCTATCAAGGCTTAAGCCTTCTCTTATAGAAGAAAATAAGGATATGGTGGGCTTTTAGGTCTTCTGGCCTATCTGGAATGAGATATGGCTTGAAAGAGAATTTTCCATAACTTAAATCTGACATGTCAGGGAAGGCTTGAGCTTTAGGAATAAAGGCTCGAGCTTTAAGGTTTAGGCTCGAGCTTAAGGAACAAGGCTCGAGCTTTTCTGGATTAATGCTTGAGCTTCAAGAATTGGTGCTCGATCTTCACTTTGACACTTAGCCAAATTTCTTCAATTACTTTCCGAAATGTCATTTTCCTCAACACTTAGAATATTCTTGGGATTGAAATCTTTTACCATTGCTCGATCCAAGCTTCATTGGCTCGAGCACTAGGTACCAGGCTCGAGCATTTGGTTCTCAAGGCTCGAGCTTCAATGGATGGTACTCGTTCCTTGGGGTTAGGCACGAGGTCTAGGAGCTTGGAAATCAACTCTTCAAATTCTGACGCCTTGTGCTCGAGCTTAAGGGTCAAGGCTCGAGCACCCTATGGTCAGGCTTGAGCACCTTTTGTTCAGGCTCGAGCCTGAAGGTACAAGGCTCAAGCTTTAATGCCTTGTTGATTTTTTATCTTCTTTGACTTGTAAGGCTCGAGCCTCATGACTTGGGCTCAAGCTTTGGGTTTTGAATTCTTCCAAACTTCACCATTTAAGCTCTCGGCTTGCTCTGGATGACCGGCAATGACTCTGTAAGCTTCGATATCATCATAAAGTTCCGGTTTTAACCATTTCTCTGGGAAAGTACCTACAAACACATATTAAACATAAATCAATCTAAATATGGTTAGAAGTATTATTTTAGGCCTTAACATAGGTATAATATTCAGCGCTCATCAGTTAACATATTGATTATGTTCAAAAGTGCGTTGATAGTGTTCATATGAAATATTTTAGGGTGCAGAAATTCCCGTCCAATTTCTGAATGAAGAATCTTATGTAACACCACCAGTTGTATTCCACAACAGATAGCTTAATATTGGTGAACCATGTACTTCATTAACCAACCATGTAAGTGTGTTAAATAAGATACATTATTTTCTTTTTCTTTTTTTCCTAAATTGAAAAAAAAAAATTTACATATTAGTAATATATTACAAAGGTCACATGGGACATATCCCACACCAAAGTCTGCCCAGACCAGGTAACATTAGAAAAAGTCACACTAAAACCTAATGCAAAACAGTAATCACATCTTGGAGGCATACCCCCAAAATGTGTATAACTTCCCACTCAATACAATTTGCCAAATCCTTTGGAGAGGAGAATTTATCATTCTATCATTCCAACCACCTTCTTCTTTAAGAACAACAAGCTTCTTCCATTCTAAATTTCTCGTATCTTCATAATGCCCCCAAATAAAGTTCCTTATTGTCTTTCATATGCCCACAATCATGTATAAAATTCCCTTCCACATCCTGAATGACAGTTATATTGGTTAGAACCGTATGCTCTTTAATTTGATGATGCAAAAACCTTGTGCACCTGTCTTGGTCTTTCATCCATGTAATTCTTGTCTTCTAAGACAAAAGAATTGCTTCATTAGAGCTAGCACATTTAAATTGTTATCTAATATCCTACTCCTTAATGAAAACATCATTCATAAGATTCTTAGCTAAACTAAGTTGCACTTGCTCAAGAGACATCATAATAGCAATAACCTCCTCAAAAACAAACCCAAACTTCTCAACATTCCATTTTTTGATAGCCCTTTTAACCAACTGAAATAAACAGCAGCTTCTGGAATGGATTCCCATGACTATTAGTCTTCCACACATCAGAGATAATGTTGCCAACCACTTCCTGTTTATTCCACACCAACAAAAACTCAAAAGGCTGCAAAGGAATATATTTTTAGTTGAAGTCCCCCATGATCTGAAAATCAATGTTGTGGAGTAAGAATAATGTGTGAAGTTGGAAATGCATTATCCCAATCATGGTTCATAAGACCTCTATCCAGTGTTGCATAAATTCTTTTCTGACTAAACCTTTTATTACCCCATGTATATTATCCATTATCCACTGGAATATCAGATAAACTAAGCTGATCAATGGTATGGTTAAAATAATATAGCAGTCTGGGAGGATGCCTAAGGCTTCCCTTCATCCTACCTTAATATGTATTGTCAACAATATAAATGTTTCAGGCAGATATTGGCGATCCAACCATGTTGTCATCTCAACAGTTCAGCACTCCCTCTTCATATAACGAATCAAGTGCTTATCGTTTGGGAGGTGATAAGGTAATCATTTATTCCTTCTCTACTAATTGATTTCATTGTTCTTATTATAGTAACGCAGAAAACAGTTTAGTAAACTTAGATGGATTACATTTGTTGTCATTCTGGTTAATTGCAGACACCTGGGCAAGCGAATGTGACGCCAACATCTCGAATAGCAATGACGTCGAGGATGAATCATCCAATTCAGTATCAACTCTTTGAATAAAGAAGAAACTTGTCATGTAATTGATTTTTCATTGATTGTGTGTATCTTTGTAACCTTTTGGACTTCTTGTACAAAGTTTATGGCCTACTTCGGCTAGCATTATTACCTTTAGCTGTCATGTAATTGACCTTGTATTCATTATGTGCATCCTTCTAATATTTTCCACATGTGGAGTATCACCATGTTTTGTAAATTGACTCTTCGAACATTACAAAATATAAGTCTTATTTTGGGTATGACTATGTTTTGTAAGCAAGGAAGACATGAGGATCACTGTCAAATTGGATAGACTGTTTGTTCAGAAATATTAATGTAACTCAAGCTACTTAAAGCATAAAAAATGTACCAATGAAACACTGAGACCAACAATGGACTCTTGGCTTAGGTGTTGGCAAATGTTGACCCTTTGTCTTGGGTTCGAGTTTCAGTATCATCGAGTGGCAAGTTCAAAAAAGAGGTATTCTAAAATACCTCCTTTTTTCTTCATTTTTTTTTTTTTTTTTTTTTTTTTTTTTTTTGTACAAAACATTACAAGGTAGGACAAAAATAAAGTAATGTGTATAAAACATTCCTACATTGTTTTACCTACATAGATCAAAGACATGAATCATTTATATCGGCAATTGTAACTAGACAATAGCAAATGTTGTACAAAAATTCACCCCAATTTTAACACTCACCTTTGCACAAGTTTGACTATGTTACTTGAAGGATAAAAAATGTACCAATCAAATACTGAGACCAAGAATGAAATGTTGGCTTAGGTGTTAGCACATGTTGACCCATTGCCCTCGGTTCAACTCTCACTATCCCTGGCTAGCAATATCTAAAAAGACGTATTGTAAAATACCTCTGTTTTTCTTGATTTGTTTATGGTAAATGAAAGGCAACGATATAAGTTGATAAAGTTGTACAAGTCATATAGATTAAAAAATTTGAAGCTAAAATTTATATTGATATAAAAATAAGAGCATATATTTATGGTATGAGACCAACAAGGCAATTACTTAATTCTGCCAGAATCGTACGAACATATACAGATGTATTTATGCAATACAACGCAATAAATACGTAATTTTGTCAATAGAATTTGTACAAAATATCCCAGAATAATCGTGCGAAGACGTATGTAGATAACATTCACACATGTACGTACATAATACCTTAAGAAATTTGTACAATAAATCGCAATACATATGTACAAAAAATCCCTATACTTATAGTACATAAAATCACAACACATACGTACATAAAATCAATATAATATGTAAATGTGTACTGGGGTAGTTCAATATTAATTGAAATATGGATTAGAATTACAAATGGCTTCAACAACCACTCCCACCCATAGCGCCACCACTTCTGCTATAAATATATGTCATAAGTAGTGTTAGAAGCACCCATAAGAAAATGCCTTCCTCTAGGCCAACCAATGATGGGCACAAATTTGTACCATTTAAAAATACCACTTATAATAATGGCACATTCATCATTGCAGATTAATGCTATAGTAGGGGGTTGTCGAACCACAAGGATTGCTAGTTTATGGCAAATATAACTGTAAAATTACTTCCTAATTTGATAATAGAGATGATAGTTCGATTGGTTTGTCACTTAATCTATGAGTTTAAATTTCATAAAACAGTAAATAATATGATTAGAATGGGTTGAACTTATAAAGAAAAGGCTAGGGAATTGAATTCACCTCAATCTCATAAACATGGTAAATTACACTCAACTTGGGGATAGACATTTATATATATAAAATGATGTGTAGAAGCATAAAACTACCACAACATCGTCAAGAAGATCATACATTTCAGAACTAAGCATAACCCATCTTCGGTTAGCATGGTTCATCCACCTAAACTAGGTTGTGGTATGAACCATCTTCCCTAGGCACGGCCTATCAAGGTCTTTCAATGGTATGTTGCAGCACATGAAATTAATTAAATATCATAGATTATCTTTAGTTGGTACGGACCATCTACCTAACTATATTAATCTAAAGGTGTAGCATGGTCCATCTTCCTTAAGCGTAACCTATATAAATACTCAATTGCATGCCAATATAACCATTCTATAAATTCTTTCCCATTGTCACTATAGGAAATCAAGTGTATAATTGTGTCAATGTAATTTCTAAGACAAGATAAATAAATCAACAAAATTATATATTCAAATGATAATCAAATACATTAATTCAATGTAAAATACATCAATTCAATGTAAACACTTCTAATTTATGAAACTGAATATATACAATAAGAATCTAAAAATTGAAATATAATTTAACACATGTTTACTTGGTCTAGGTTACATCAACTCCCTAGAAAAGGAATTAGCCTCTTATGGATATGGCAGCAACCTCCAGGATTGAAGACGAGAAGAAAATCTCTCCTCTCACCATTGTTGCAAAGCTAAGCATAAGAACCCTAAGAAAATCCTCTCCCTCACAATATCCTTTCAAAAACTAAAACTGACTGACTTTCTTCAAGCCTTTCCCCCTCCTTTATCCTTACGTGAGTTTCAGAATACAAAATCTCATTCAAAATTTGAATTTCCACTCAAGATAGAACAAAATTGGACTTAATTAAAATGGGGGCCCGTGGTATTATGTCAGGACGCGAAAAGTGGTGTCCGGATGCAAGGTCTTGATGGTTTGGTTTTCGGACGCAAGGTACTGAAAGGTGGCATCCGGACGCCACTTCTTGCATCCAGACGTGAGGCATGCTACTTTGACATCTTCTTCTTTCTTTAGCTCTGGTTGCATCCATCGCCTATTCAGGTCATTTCTCCTTGAAAACCACTTGATATGTAGGCCTGATATGACTTGTGCTCCAAAAACCCTTAAAACCTTATTCTTATTCCTTTTTAGCAATAAGACCTGCAAAAACATAAAAATATAATTAATCTATATACACAGATCAAATAATGGGCTTAACTAATACAATTAAGGGTGCTTAAATATGCAATATTTGACACTTATCAAACCCCCAAACTTACATTTGTTGAAGCACAAATTTCTCCTCTTTCGTGGGAGTGACGATTGCATTTAGTATATGGAACAAGCCTTTTAAACCCCTAAGTATCCCTAGAGGACGAGTGAAGTCTCGTGAGGGTTTACCAGAAATGATACCCACAAACACTAAGCACACGACTCATTCCAGTATATATTGAAACATGTGACTTTAGGGAAAAACTCTATCACGAAGACTACAACAAGTATGCATACAATAATATCTCAAAATAGAATTCAATTCCCAGCATTCATGCATCAACAGACTAGTCCACATACATGATCTTCAACATCCTATTTATAATAGACTTTCATCTCAAGTTCCTTAGAAGTGAACCGAAATTTTATTTTCTTTTAAAAATGCACTTTTAACCCTTTTATGGCTCATACAATGTCTTCCACATCCTTAATTTATCTTTTGAAATCATAATCCAAGGCATGAATTTATTTGAACACAATTTTTTTTTTTTTTTTTTTTTTTTTTGCATGACCTTTTGCAATGTCTAAGTTCCTTAAGCTTTCTAACCACTCCATGTAACGAGCGTTGAGCCAACGACTCCAAAACCATATGGCCTTAGGGCATTAAGTGTAAAGACACTCCTAAGGACATAATGACTCGGAATGGTTAGGCTACGAACTCAAATGATCGGTTGATCAACTATACATCAACCTTCGCAATAGCACGAATCATTGTAAAATAGGGCTATTGGTCGGGTAAGTCGAACCACTGGGACTGCGCTAGTCTATGGCAACCTAAGTGTCTAGAATTGTTCTTAGAATGATAAGGGGTTTATAGAGGTTTGTTGGATGTCACTTAAGCTAGGAAATTAAAAGTGCATAAAACAATAAATTGCAAGAATTCAAGGGAGTGAAGTACAAGTAAAGAAGGCTAGGGAAATGAATCCACCTCCATCCCTATACACATGCTAGGTTAAGAATAATTTAAGGGAAAAACAACATATATGATAGTCATGATACATAACAATACTAGGTTGCTATAATATCCTCAAGAAGTTCATTTAAATAGGAAGGCAAGAATAAACTATCAAAGGTTCACATGATCAACTACCTAAACTAAAATGTAGCTTAGAACATGCTTACTAAGTCAAGGATTATCAAGCCCTAATTTAAATGGTGAATGCACATAAAGCAAAGAATCAAGTATAGACCATCAAAGGGAAACCCTAAGCCATGAACTATCTAGGTTCTCCAACTCCATGCCATTGAAACCATTCCATGATCTAACTTCCATTGTCACCATGGAAGTGCAAGCAATATGATTACGAAAAGTAACCATCCAAGACAAGATGAATAACTCACAATAATCATTTATAAACATTCAACATTCATTACAACAAAAATGAGGCTCTTGACCATGGAAAGACTATCAAAAATACATTGTAATCCCCAAAAATAAACTATACTAACACATGCTTACAAGGGAGGGGTTTCATCACCTCCCTAGAAGAGGAGTTAGTTACCCATTGGAGCCTTAGAATGAAGAAGAAGCTTGAACTCCATCTCCAATTTTCGAGCTCCCCTTTGTTAGCTTCAAGAACACCTTCCTTTCTTGCTCTCTTCTCCCTCCTCTATCTTGCAAAAATCAAAGATAAATAATGTGTGGCCCTTGGGTAGCTTTTTATTCTCCAACACACCCTCTCTCTCCTCCAAGGAACACCTCCAACCACTTCATAAAGAAGGAAGATGGCATTGAGGAAACCAATGTGCAAGTGACTGAAATTGAGCCATTTCCGAGTGCAATCTGCCTGATTTTTGAGCACTCGAAAAGTGATCTCGAGCACTCTAACTTAGTGCAATGTGCAACATGTTCCTCTTGCTCAGCGCTGACCTATTTTGGGAAAACTGCTATAACTTTGTGCCCCGAACTCCGAATGATAATCTGTTTGAAGATTTGGAGAGCTGATTCAGTGTTTTAAAAACTTCATGTTTTGATGAAGACCCAATTCTCAAGTCTGGTTGG